ACTAACTTTCGGACTTATACGCGTAAATACATCATTCATCACCAGTCATGATTTCATTAGCGTGTTTCGAAGTACCGGTATTTTTTAACATATCTCTCGAAAAGTCGACACGAGCTTTTTTTGAAGCATTTTGCATCCGGTCTAATGTGAAAAAAAAAGATGTGCATGTAATATTGCCAGTCCCAATAATACCTATAGTTGTCTCAATCTCACAATAGGTCCCATGCCGATCTTGCAATATTAGTTTGCACACAGCATAAATAATTTACGGAATAACAACTGGTTTTGTACTACCTTCACGACTTGGAGTCATCTACGACCTCAATTGAATGCACCGTACCACCCGTAAACATTGGCTCTGGCTGGAGTTTCATCATCAAGATCTAAATTAATTTCAACGATGAACTGTTGCTGAGTTAATCCACCTCGAAAGATATATAAAAAATCGCACGGTAATGATCGTGATTTTATTTTATTTTTTGGATAAGATGAATATTTTAAGTTACTGTAACAACACATCAAAAATAAAAAACTTTGCGATAAAGAATTCAATACTAAGGTTCCAAAATCCCGAAATATAAAAAGCAACCTATGTGAATTGCGTAAAATTGGACTCATAAGTAATTATTGTCGGTTATATTATATAAAATTACTGACTAACTCTAGATCTGTAGAAACATTTTTCTTGCAGGTTGTATAACGTAATTTCAATGTAATAATTGACCTCATTATGCGTCTGAAACCACAAATCTTCACACATATAGACATAATTGCCTATATTTAAAACATGTTTGAAAGGACTGTTAAAAGCTTTAAAAACTTCAAATTGGTCAGAAAAAATTACACACTATTGAATAGGCATTATTACAAAAGGGCTAAACTGAAATAAATTGCATGCATTTCTCAACATTATTGTTTAAAAAAGTAATAAAATCCGTATTTTTTCTGTACTACTATGAAATCACAATAACCCCAAATCTCTAATAATTCCCCAAAATACCAAAATAGGGCCAATTACACAAGCACGACACTTCCATAATATTACAGCACACCAATAATTTCAATATCATTGAAGTAAAACACTTCAGCAACGAACGCTGTGAGCAGATATGTGGACACATGTATTTGATTAATGCGACTGGACCGTCAATTTAATTGCCTTTATCGAATCTTTGAACATATCCAAATCCATTAACGTGGAGAAATATTAAGAAATCACCGAAACAAAACAAAACTTTTAATTGATTTGGGAAGATGTGTGGCTGAAACTTACGCCGACCCCATACTCAAGCCTCCACCAAAGCAGGTGGAGCGCATACTCAGCTCATAAGTACCGAATTTGAAGGTGAGGCGTCGCTAATCCGTTAAATAAACACACGCATCACAAAGCTAAGGAAAAAACGTATTCACACGCTTGTGGCTGCACAAAATATAATATATATAATATGGACGTGATATGTGGCAACAACAATATGACACATTGCGCAAGAGAGGGCAGGGCTGGGGTACACAATTAAATAATGTATTAAACAACAATTTTATTGTTTATTGGTACATTATATTATTTGGCGAATTTGAAATATCCGATTTATTTTGTGAACAATTCATTATTTTAATTTCTTCTTCACGCGCGTTTGTGTGGCGCACTTAATTGCGGCACCTCAAGGTTATGAAGAATTCGCAAGCAAATAATATTCCCAGCACCCAAGCTTTATTGCGTTTACTATTTCCATTCAAAATTCAAATTTTTATCAATTATGCAATAATATTACGTGTGTGTCCAATCAATTTCTTAATTATGTGAATCTTTTACACATTTCCTTGCTGTCTTAATTGAGCTGGGCACAAGACTTCATTTCAATACATATAAATAAATGTATGCGTATACAATATATGTACAAATGTTTTCATTTCTGTTTGTTTGTTTTTTATATTTTTTTCTTGACACTTAACTTGGCTAATGACCATCAAGGTATAGCGCCGGTGATTTGGCATTAAGCTGCATAGTAAATGTGAGTAAAACGGAAATTATCCAACTGACGGTGTGTAGTAATTTTGATGATTTTGGTATCATCGCTGTTTTACTATTATGAATAAGTAAAAACTATTTGTTTTTTGTTTGTAAACTCAATAGTTGTTAATATGAGAATGGTCATTAATATTGCTAAAACTGAGTTATTTCCTCGAGTGTTTTTTTTTTTCAAACTTACTTTTCAATGAAAATTTTCAAGCTGAAGTTGTACGTCAAACTACGAGTAAAAAAGTTTGGTTTTTTAGGCTTAATAATAAAGCTTTGTTTTCCTTAATAAACAGTGATTAAGTCATTGCGATTAGATTCGGCTGAATGTTATTAAGTGGAGTTCTTCATATGTGTAAAAATGTTTTAAAGTTATTAGTTAGTTATACTTACTTGTACTCATTGTTAGTCAACTCCTATTAATGTTGTAGACCCGAATTTAGTGAACTATAATGCATTAATTATACTAACTTAAGTGTAGCTTCCGAAACTAGACGCTTCTCATATTGAGCGATCCTACTTAGCTCCGTACTGGTACGTATGTAATTTTATCAAGCACCTTATAGAGAAACATATTCATATGTTTTTTTCTTAACCAAAACGTCTAACATTTTAGTTTTCTTCCTTTGCTTAATATTCTCTCTTTGCTTAATATTTATTGTCGTAGACACCGCTTACGTGGCTACAGCCGAGCTTACAACAGCGCGCCAGTCGTTCTTCCTTTTCGCTGAGTCTTAATTCACTAAACTATGTCAGTGTCAACGTATATCGCATACATCGTTCGATCGACTGCGGTATTCGCCGTTGTCAATGCGCAAAGAACCTTTCTCTCGAAAACTCGTAATGCCGACTCATCAGTAGTTATTATCGTCTATGCTTCGCACCACATAGCACGACTGGGATGATGAGTGACTTGTAGAATTTGGTCTTTGTTCGTCTAGAGAGAACTTTAGAGGTCCTTTCCGAAACTGATGGTGCTATTGGTATTGCTCAACGTCAGTTTACACAGCCGTATTAGTTTTGCGGGGTTACCAAATTCAGACATGACGGCATAAAGGTTGCTCCTTCTGGTGCTTTTCCAAAATTTAATTAGATTAAGATTAAGATTTTTTCTTATAATATAATGAAAATTCTGATTCTATAACGAACTATAATTAGAGCAGTTCATGTCTTTCGGAACCAATACTAGATATTTTGCAGCAATACTTTTCTAGAACATTCTGCCGCTAAGGTTATTTTTTGAAAGTGTACTCTAGGGATCTCATTGCTTGCGATAATGTATTAACGTGTTCTCAAATAGGATCTCAAACTTGTAGAATAATTTTTTTGTGTGTTATTTGGAGTGCATTTCGAAATTTTATTGTTTCGGCAGCAATTACTGCAGTTTTAAATTGTTTTTTTTTTTCAGTTTATACTTTGACAAAATATTAATGATATGTTTTCTTTGATATTGTGTATTCTTATATTGCGGAGTCTTTACAAATATTCAGAAAACTTGCCGTCCAATCAAATCAATTAGTAATATATCACAGAATTTTAACAATTATATAACGTTAGTAGAACTTCGAGGCAGCGAAAGCTATTTAATTCTGTTTTAAATAAACCTATCGTCTCGATGTTTCCCGAAAGGAATGCCTTACCCGTCAGTTTTCTTCAAATATTTATAACGTAATTTAGACTAAATGAGTTACTTTCAAACTTGTATTGTGCAAAATAATTGTTTAACCTAATTACTCCTGTCAAGAAAGTATAGGAAATTTATAAATAAAACGAAATTTTTTTAAGCATCATTTAAATTTATTGTATCGCCGCCAAAGTGTTTGGCCAAAATTTAAAGCAAATACGTTGATTAAAATTTTAAAATTCGAAAAACACTACTGAAGTTGACTGAACTAAACAGCTGCTGTAAACATATTGGTTGACAAATAGCACTAATTTTTAGCATCAACGTTAAGGATACTTTCTTGACAGGGTGTATACTAGGGTGCTTCAAAAAAAATTTTGGAATTTTTTTTTTCAACTCTTACCCCCTCAAATGTTAGTGATTGACAAACAAAAAATGCTCCCTCAAGCCACACGCTTACCTTAGCTGCAAGGTGTCGCTATTTTTTTTTTTTTTTTTTATATACATTTAGCATTTTTTATATACAATTTAGCATTGAAATTTTCTTGTTTTCATTCAAACTAAAATTTCGCCAACTAATTTTCGTTTCTCAAAAATGACCAATTACAATTAGCTAAACTAGTGTTAACTACTTTTACTTACTATTACTTTTTGTTAAAATATGTAGTTAGAACAATATAACGACATATTTCGTAGACAGAAATACTACTTATCAATTGGACGGTAAATATTTTCCTTAGAAAGATTTTTAATTTCTTAAAAAATAAAGTAAAAAGTAAGTATTTCCTTTTGACTCCTCATAAGTTTTTTTGTGGAAGAAGGCGCAAATTAAATTACTAAAGTAGTCAGAAAATTATTTCCAATAGCAATTTCAATAAAACCAGTTTATTATTTAAATAAATGGTTGGTAAGTTAATTATACATCACTTTACATATAAGATTTACGAAATACATAACGACCGAACAATAGGAGGATAACGCTAATTGTATACAATTTTACATCTCAACTTACAGCGAATTCTTAACACTATTGCCTTAATTCATATTTTGACTAAACAATTTTCTTCATTAAATGGCCTAAATATGTACATACGTACAGTCATAAACTACAACAAACATATAAAGTCATTAAACCAGTTTAATTGAGCAAAAACCAATTCTGCGCCAAGGCCATCCGGCCGCGATGAGCCGTCGATTGAAGCAACAAAGCGCAGTTACTTTCAAAGCGCATTTTCCCAAAAGCCCACTAACTACTACATACGCAATCACGAAAAATATTAACATTAAACGTTAAATACAATAATAACAGCAAGAAACTATAATATTTGTTTGTGTCTTTTTGTCGTTTTGTCATTGCAGCAATACTCTTGGCGACGGCGGCTTGCATTCTGGGACAAGCGCAGCTGGACTATCGCAAGCCATGGCCGACGTACAGCCTGCAAAACATGCCGCAGACGCGCTTCACATGCCACGACAAGATACTCGGCGGCTACTATGCAGATGCGGAGACTCAATGTCAGATGTTCCACGTCTGCGTCAAAGTGTCCGGTGTGGGGGTAAGTGCCAGCAACTTCAATTCAAATACTAATGTGTAAGTGTGTTTGTGTGAAGATCACAACCAGTCCAGTCAAGTGGCAATAGCAGCTTTGAACGCTAACAACAGCTACTTTGCAACGCACGAACTGCCAAGAAGAACAAAAATAGGAAAATTTGAAATAATATTGCAACTAACTACAATCAAAGTGTTAGATGCAGGCCATCGCGAGTGGCCATTAGACCGAAATCACAATCGAAATGTCAAAATATGCGAACGCGATACGCTTGCGTTTTCTTTGATATACCGATGGCAGCTGCAAGCGGTGCGCAATGTGGGCATCGGATATGCGCATGCTCAATAAGCACAAGATAGTGTTGCTCCCTTCACGAAGCAGTTGCCACTGAATTTTCTGTTGTCGTGCATCTCCAGTTGCTAGTAAAACGAGATATGTGTCCAAGTAGCTGCTATTTATTCGTAATGTTTGTTCGAGTACAGGAGGTTAATAATTCCAATTCGTGTTTCTTAAGCTTCAGAATTTAACTTGAATCTGAAAAAGTCAAAGCTAAAATGTATATATGGCATTCTGAGTAGTTTCAGTTCTCAGAAAAATAAGTTGATTGTGATTACACCTATAGCAGAACGGGTATCCTACAACAGTTTAGCTAAATAGTTTGAAAATGAAATCAGTATATTTTAAGCTGTTTTCAAGGTCACTACTGATATTTAGAACAGATCTTGAAATACTTATGATATTAACCCACTTTGAAACTCACATTATCACCGACAAACAGTTCTATCTAATGTGCCAGATTGGTTTGAGCAGTTTCCATACAATATAAATATTTAATGTATGGTTCTCAGGTACTCTCAGGATGCAAATAAAAAGTACACGGACAAGCTGAAACACTATAGTTGGATCACTGATACATTCTGCACATAATTTTTAAAATAAAGCGCTATATGATTTCTGTTCATATATATTTGAATTATATATATATATTCTGCTCATATATTTTTGAAGAAATCTCAACTTGAAGACACTTGTTACATTAATGATATGAACAACAGACGAAATAACTCATATACAGGCACCTCAAAGTCATTCACTGAGAATCTTCTATAACCTTTACCTGCTCTTTCTCGAACCTTGATATCTAAGGAGTCAAATATTTAAGCTGCGAACGAAGAGCTCGAAGTCTTGATTGAATTCCGCGAAAATACCGTCAATTACTTTATATAAATTGGAACTGGTTTCACTCTTAATTATCTCTCTTCATTATTGCTTGAACTTGCAAGCTTGCCAGAAACAATTGATCGTATATTGGATAGTCGAAAAAGTCTTTTCGTATTTCTAATCACACGTGAACTTAATTTTATTTTCTATTTATAATGAACTTTAATGAACTAAATATGTACCATTTGGGTCGACCACTTTCTGCCATTTTGCCGCTAGAGACACGCTTCATCATTCCATCAGTGTAAAACTTTTCTGATTTCTCGGCGAAAAACTGTGGCAAGTAATTTTCACACGCTTCTCTTGAAGCCACCTTTACTCCATTAAGGGAGTTCTGCATTGACCGCCAAGTTTTCCCAGTTTTTTCCGAGACATCAATGATGTGTATGGTCTACCGTTGTCCTGATGGAAGACAAAGCCCTTTCTGTTGATCAACTTTTGCCGGTTTTTTCGATTGTTTGCTTCAATCTCATCAGTTGTTGACAATAAAAAGTAGAATATATCGTTCGACCAGGCAGGAGCAGCTCAAAGTGGATGATTCCAATCCCATAAAACATTCAGCATAACCTCTCGAGGCTTTGCGACCATTTGTTGAGCTTCACCACTATTGGGCCTTAGACTTTTTCGCACATTATTTTACCACTCAGCAATGTCATGGCTACTTATTTGACGGTCCTATCAATCTTTTCTCTAATTTCATCGATTTTTTCAACGATAGGTTGACCAGAGCGACTGCCTTAAGTTCTATGCTATTCAAATTTTTATATTATTAGTTAGACAATAGTGATAAAAATTTTTTCTTACACCTTAAGTATTAAAATTAAATAAAAAATGGTCGTTCCAAACTTTTCGTGAATTTCATATTCCACTCAAGTAACCCAGTCGTGACTACTAGCAACTTAAGATGTGCCATGCCGATTTTTACGCAAATACAAAAGCAGCTTCAGTGGCGTCACATTTTTGAACGCTCCTACTGTTTTGCCACACGAGCTTAACAAGCGATATGTTGCGAATGACCTTTGCAATTAAATTAAATTTTACTTCTTCATACTCGCACATATATTTATCTTCGATTCGGTTCGAAATGCTGGGACATAAATAAGCAGGAAGAAGCAGCATGTGGGTTGCAAACTCCCTGCAAGCGTTCTCGCGCAGTTGGCTGCCTTCATTGGTGGTTTCACATTTCTGCTTAACAGTTTATTTGCAGATTCTTGCTTTTCCACTCTTATTGTCAACAGATATTTTTGTCTTTATTGTGTTGTAAATTAATTGAATGTGCACTTCGGCAGTGCTGGAGCTTGTTCGCAGCAAATCAGCGCAGCTGGTAATTCAAGTCGGTCACATTTAAAGTGCTGAGTTGCCGCAAAACATTCTGAATTTTATTGGCTTCGGCAGCTAACGGTAGCCAAGCTTAGACTTCTAAGCGGCTGACGGTATGTCAGTGTAAGTTTTATGTGTGTGTTTGTGTGTGCGAGTGTTCTTGCCATTAGTTTTCCATGTGTGTCACAACATTTATGGTATGTTGCACGTTGCGCGACTGTCTGTATGGCTGTGTGTGCGCTTGTATTTGGCAATGCTCCCACAGCGCTTGCCGTTTCGCCAAATGGCAGAGTTCAACTGCAACGATAATTATGTATTGCAGAATTTGATTTTGCTGCGGTTTTTGCTGTTCGCGCTGATTATAAAATTTATGATGCACTCTAATGCAATACAACTGTAAAGCGCAATATACATACATTTTTACGCGGATAACTGTTTTCATACTAATTTTGTGTCTGGCCTAGGGGGCATGAGTAATCATGCACTTACTTTTAAGTAGTCCACAGAGAGTTCTCATAAAAGTGCCAATTGAATCAATATATGTTATCTTATGGATATAAATATATATGAATGTGCATAATCCGTATATATATAGTATATACTTATTCACATTTTTGCTTAAAAAGAAATATGGATTAATGACATTCTTTAAAAGATTACGTATCGATAATTTTTGAAATTGTTTCAAAAGCATTAAAATTTAAATTTTAATATTATGAATTATATATATTTATAGCAATAAATAATTGGTATATAGTATGAAGTATTTTATTTTCTAACTTCTTAATATGTTATTTCTAGTTAAATCATTATCTATCAACGAGTGTAAGAGTCTTCAAAGTTCCGTCTTTAAATATAATTATTTCTTTATACTCTGACCCGCTGACTTTATACTCTGAGGCTGTTGTTTCCTTTTAATTGGAAGTGGTGTCTATGTATCGAGTCTCAAACCCAGCGGACAACATCGCTAGGCGAGGAGTATAAAGTCTTATTCCCATTTATATAGCGACCCGCTTGCTTGAAGACCGATGTCCGCTCGCAGCCGCACCTCTGGTGAACATACGCTGCAATTAGACTTCAAAAAACACTTAAATCGATGATGCCAGAGCGGCTTCGCTGAAGCTTCCTCTCTTTTAGCCGTTACCGCAGGCTCCACACGGGTTGGCTGCCGCATATTACACAAAGGTGCCTTACGGTAAACGGCGAGGATGCAGGAGTAGGAATTTTGTATAGTACTACAACTATAAATGCTTACTCAGAAGCATAACTACACCCCTTTACACGTGGTGATCACTCTGTCTTTACTACAAAAGTATCAAAACAGTAACATTGGGTGAATACTGGAAACTATGACTAATTTTCTGTGGCACCTTTTGACAGAATGTAGGCTTTGTTGGAATGAAATCTTCAAAAAAATTTATTTTAGATATAATACACACTTTATATGCCATTTCTAAAAATTGTACAATTAAATCTCACAGGTGCAGGACTTCCGTTTCTTGTGTCCCAATGGCACCGCCTTCGATCAGGAAGCGCAAATATGCGCTGATTGGGGTGACGTCGACTGCGAGTCATCCGTGCTCTATTATGGCAGTGACAACTTTGATCTGTATCGTCTGGGTTCAGGTTTTGAAAGTAAACGCGCACCTTTGGCTGAAGAAGAGGAGGCAACGTTCCATTTGCAGCGTGCCGAGAGCAGTAAGTGCACAAAATTTTAAAATTTTTAGCAATGCAATAAAAGTATATATTCTCTTTCGTTACAATATACTTTATAAATAATATGGTAAAATTTGTTAGAAAGAGTAGATTATTTAATAATTTTATATTTTACGTTTTCAAATTTAAAATATCGTGAAACACCCTGCACCTATTTATAACGCCAATTCATGCAAACGTTCCAAATTAAAAGTAATTATACTATGCAACAACTGCCATAAATATATCATTATCATGTGTCTTCCTTTTCTGTTTTTTGTTTTTTTTTTTTTGTTAAATAGGCGATATACGCCGCTCCAAAGAGACGCGTGTTGATCAAAAGTCACGCCCTGACCAACCGCCGAACTATTCGAAACACTTCGGCGCAACACCGCAACGCAACTCTTTCCATAATTACGCAAATCCAAGTACGCAAAACAACAACAACAACAACAACAATGACAACGATGATTATGCACCAACAAAAGCACGAAGAATCGAGACGACACCGGCGCGTAGACCCATTGTTAATTATTATACGCCAACAACTTCCACAACCACCAGCTCCTCAACAACTACAACAACGACCACTGAACGCAATTTCGACGACTCAAAACGTAAGTGATGCCGAATTATTTAATGAGTGATCCATTTGCTGCTGAAGTTTCACTTTCTTTTTTGTTTTTGTATTTGGATTTATCTTTATTTCAACACTTTTTCTCACGTCACCATTTTGCAGAAGAGTACGATGATATCTTCAAAGGTTCGCATAGTTCGCATTTCTTCGCGAATCGCAACGGCGGACGCGAGGACGATTTTATTGATCACCCGGTGAAGGCGAAGTTCAACGACGTTAATGACTACAGCAAGAAGACTACAGAAAGCGCCACCACTGGCAAAACACGCGCTCAGCCAACGCGCCCGAAGCGTATTCAGCAAACCAGCACAACGACGACAACAACTACTACTGCTACTTCCACATCACTTGCCACAAATGCACCGAAAGTCATAAAGAAGGTCACACTGCAGTCTTATTACAACGTCAGTGGTTTCGATTATACCCAGCCGAAGTCCACTACTCCGTCGACTACCACTATATCTGCTACTTCGACTACACGTCCGAGTTACAGTGCTGCAAATCGTTTCAGTTTCAATTCAAATGACTATCAGACACAAGAAAAAATCGAGCCAACGACCTATAACCCGACGAGCGGTGTTTATCGTATTAAAAGCACAACACCGAAGTATACCGAGTTCACAAGAGAGAGTACTGTTAGCGCGAGAGGAAGAAGTACGAGCACGAGCGGCAATTCGTATTTGCCCAAAGAGACGACGCAAAGTCAAAGTAAGCCGACCGCTGCGGCACGCAAAGCGCAAAAATTAGAACGGACACAACAAAAGCTGGCCATCGCGAATGAGTTCGATGATTTCTCGAAAATAAAGTTACAACCACCGCAACCGTTCCAGCCTGCACCAAATACACTGTCAACGCAATCGGCACAATCAACGCAATCAACGCAACCATCTCAACGTCCCACTACAGCGAATCAGTACCAAGAACCGCAGTACTTCCGTTCGCGTGGCGCAAAAGGTGAAAAGTCGCAACGCAATCAGGGCAATCAAGAACCAACTCCGTTTAGTGGCTCTCCGAAACAGCGCGGTACTCCCACAACTGCCGTCGTTAGTACGGCAAGATCCTCGGTTAATCCGGAGTCGCGTCCACGTGGTTTTGCCAGTCGCGGTAGCATTAACTACAAAGCCACCACACAACGCGAGACGGACTATTATGCGCCTACGACAAGCACCACCAAGAAATTCTCTACACTTGTGCCGAAAACACAGCAATCGTTGACGCCGACAACATTCAAACCAACAACTTACCAGAAACCACTGGATACTTTCGTCTATCAGACACAACAAACTATACGTCCGTCAAGTAAGGCGACCAAACAACCGAGTAGTGCAATTAACACTTTAACACCTACCACCGCTAATCCATACTATGATCCCGATGAGGATGACGGCCAATACCATCCGGAGTTGTATGAGGTGGATTTCCCACGCAATCGTTTCAATCTGCAACGCTCGTCCACAACAAAATCGCCAACTACAACAACATCAACCACACGTTCTTCTAACTACAACAATGATTTCCAGAATCCGCAGAAACACCTGAAAACCCAACAACAAACCGCATTCCGCAAACAACAAGAGCAAGCGGAGCCAACCGATTTGAGCGATGAAGATGAACTCTTTAAAACCGCGCATTCCTTGAATTTCGGCGCTGCCAGCATCAATAAATTGCGCGCAGACATTTTCAAAGCCGAGAAGAACTCACAGCAATATAATTCACAATACAGTCCGAAGCTTGACCCGTCCACGACGAGATCAACTAGCTCGTCAGCGGTCTACACAACAACCACACCCAGCACAACCTATAATTACTTCGCGTACTCCACAACTCAGCCGACAACTAAGTTGTATACCACCAGCACCACAAACGCACCGCCAACGACGACATCCACCACAACTACAACGAGACGTCCAACCACCTATATTACCACACCATACAGTGTGCCAGTCTCGACCACCAAGGTCACCAAGGCGCCGAAAAGCAGCAAATCACCAGGGAAAAAGGGCAAGAAAGGCAAGGGCGCCTCCAAGCGTCCACCACATGCCGATGAGGATACCAGTTACGACTATGCCTACTATGACACCGACACATTAAGCGAGTCCCCGCAGGAATATCCAGACTACGAGATTGCTGAGTTCGTGAAAACGCGCAGGAACTAAGGAGGATAGCTGAGGCAATTCACACAAACACCCATACTTCACAGTCGCGCCATTATTTACAGTTACAGAAGAATATTTGAACTACATCTAAACCAGTGTCGTTCCACAAAAACAGAAAGTGGGTCTTGAGCTGTTACCTCACTTTCCATATCCAACAAAACTAACTTCTTTGAAGATATTGTCAAAGCTTGAAGTCGGTGTCAGTGCCAGAATTTTTTAATGTCACATTTACTTCATCCGCCCACTGTCACCTTGCCCGTAGCCACAGCGTGTGCCGCGCTCTTCATTATACAGTTATTATTATTATTATTTTTTGTACTTTTTATACCCCATCCAATATTTTGTAATTTAATATTATTATTTGCGTGTTTCTAGTTATTTGCGAAATAATTATAAAAATACGCGAAAATGCTGCAGTTCATAGTCGTTAGACAAATACTCTACACTTTTATTTTTAGACCTCGATTTTTTATGCAACCACTTTTCGTGCTCTAATAGTCTTTCTTTTTTACTTAGAATTTTCGATAAAATACTTTTTTTTTTTTATTTATAAAGAAGACAAGTTGAGTTAAGTTACATAAGTTCGAAATGGCAATTTATTGTAACAACAAAGTGTATTTACTTTGTAAGTTTTTGCTGTAAATAAATTTTAATAAATATTTAAAATAAAAATATATGCTCCTGTGTTTGTTTCCTTATTTAATTAGTTATAAAAAAATTAATAACATTTGTGTTTTTGAGTTTCTCTTTGTGAAGGATAGAGTTTTATATTGTGAAGGAAAGTAATATTAACCTACTTAAGTTTGAGAAACCTCCCAGTAGTATTTAAGACTATTGCCAAATTTTCAAAAATCCAATTCATTATAGAAAACAATAAAGGGTGATCCGATGTGTGGGAAGTGGTGCCGTCTGGTTAAAACCAAATGTCGTCGAGATCATGAGTTTCAATATTAGGCATCAAATTGTTGGTTATCATGGTGCGATGAGGTCAGCATTGACGGTTACATTCTCACCGACATTATTTTTGAAGAAATGTGGACCGATGATTCCACCGGCTCACAAAGCATACCAAACTGTTGTTATATCTGGATGAAATCGCAACTCTTGAACCTCTTCAAGTTGCCTGCTGAACAAAAGTGGGCTGGAAAACTTCGGCTCTTCTTGGAACTTTTCGGGAGCCAATAGAGCGAAGCGATATAGCTTGGGAAGGTCTTCTTGCCCAAGCTGTATTTTGTAAGCTTTCAACTTAAGATCTCGACATAAAATGCCCTAAGTCGTTCCATACGTCAAACCGATTTTCTGTGAACGGCGCCGAATTGACTCTGCACGGTCTTCGAGTGCACTTTTAGTAACGCCTGCTATATTTGCTTCGTGTGCTGGACGTGATCTATTCGCCAAACAATTTTGAACAAAAATAACATAAGAACTTGGCACAACTCATAAGTGATTTGTCTGAGCAAGGCTATTAAAAAAATTACCTCCTCCGGATCACCCAATACAATATATGTAGTTATTACCCTGTCTCTTATACACATCTAGATGTGTATAAGAGACAGAAAAAATTACCTCCTCCGGATCACCCAATACAATATATGTAGTTATTACCTATATGATAGGTCTATAAAGGCACACAGAATTATAGGTACAGAGTACCTATCCCTTCAAAATAAAAGTAATTTAATTCCTTATTTGTCCTTTTTGGCCTTAAAAAAATTATTGCTACTAAATTTGATTCAGATTGACAAAAGCTACATTTTCAAATAGTTTAATACGAATCTTTACTATCGCCTTCAAAATAGTCTCCTGACTTTGCCAACGTTTAATCCATTTTTCATGCCCTTCCTATACAGGGTTTGTAAGGTAAGTAATAGGACTGAGTCGATTAATAAAATTTTTGGAACCAATAGTTAAAATTTTTTAGAAAACTTTCAAAATAGGCTCCTTTTGCGCCGACGGAGCGCTGCCAGCGTGATTTAGAAATATTGAAGACGTCAGGGAAAGCATTCTAGGGAATAGCCGAGGCGCATGCTGCTTGGATATCCTCTGTCGTCTCAAAATGCCTGCCCTTCATTGGCTTTTTCAGGCAAGGAAACAAAAAAAAAAAAAATGTCCGGGAGGACCAAATCTGGGCTGTAGGGCGGCTGCGAAAGCGTTGGGACGCCGGCCTTGGTTAGATAGCTGTTCACAAGAAAGGCGGTGTGAGCCGGAGCGTTATCGTGCTGCAACTTCGAATCGGCTACGATGTCTTGTCGACCCGATTGACCCTTCGTTTGAGCATTTTGAGGATTTCCACGAAAAACTTGGCGTTGAAGGTTTGTTCAGGAGGATCAAATTCATGGTGGACGATTTCAAAAAAAAAAAAAAAAACAATAAGCATCGTTTTCACTTTGGATTTGCTCATTTGTCAGCGACCTCTTTCCGACCCTCCAAAAAGGCCTGGTGCAACCGAAGCACACCACTTCTTGCTAAAACAACATCTGGGTAAGCCTGCTTGATCATATCAAACGTCTCTGTCGTAGTTGAGTTTCATACAGAATTTAATCGCGTACCTCTGCTTTGACGAACGTTGCATTTTCGGTTTGCAGCGCTCACAAAAATGTGTATCTTGACTCTCCAGGTCTCGGGAACAACTGACCGCCCTTTTAGCTAAGAACGAAGTACACTCGCAACGGCTGAAAATCAGTCCTATTACTTTCCGGACAAACCCTGTTAGCTCAGGCTGGGATAGCCTATAGTTCCAAGTGGAAAATTTTGAAAGTTTATCATGAAATATTATCTCTAAACAAAGACTTATTATTAATATTGATAATATTTTTCAAATATCTCCAATGTTCGATAATCACAGATCAACTATAGATGAAACTGTTAATTATATAATTCTTGAAACCATATTTTTATTTTTGAATTAAGATGAACATAAAAAACTTAAGTTCTACAAAATTTCCTGCAGTGTATCGCATTCAATGCGCCTGTAATTATGCCAGAAAGTTATTATTTTCTGGAAATCAATGTATCAACCAAAGCCTATTTTCAAAGCATCACTTTACTGCTATTCAAAACTTAAAAATCTTTTATGTATTCCACTTATTTCTTTTAAAATGCTGTTTTTGCAAATTTTTTATATATTTCCATCTGGTTTTCCCATCATCATCGATATTATGACAATATTTGCATGATTATTTGTACCCCAGGCAAATGAGAGGAAAGTCGTTGTCGTTTCTAAATATGTATAAAGATTTGTAACTTTCCCAGAGTTGCCAGATGAGAGATGCCAGTAAAATTTCTCGACAAAGGATTTCATTTTCCTATTACATTTATCAAATAGCAAACTAATGAGCGACAATGTCTTCATTGGGGAACACATGAGATTACAGTCTTAAGTACATTTATTTTTAATTAGAAATTATAATATTAAAAAGCTTAATCCAAAATGTAGTACAATGGATCAAAAGGAGCAATAAGTTTTCCGCTTTCCCGCCACTTTCTCAGTCTTTAAACTTCTGTTTCACACATCTGGGCATCGGGAATAGATAGAGCAACATATTAAAAGCTGCCAACCCAACGGCGAAAGCACACGAGGCGGCAACATCAATGGTTTCCTTTATAAACAGAAAAATTTTATACACAAAATTATTGAACCGCCTATTACTGAGTTAAAAAAATACAACTCACATCAGGATCGGCCATGCCGAGACGTTCGTGTAGAAAATCGGCCGGTTTGGGGCATATGACGGACGCTGTGGGCGTACAATTCATTTTGCGCGATTGAAAGGCAATGCTGTGCAGCAACGACGACACATAACGGGTATGTGTACCCTTTGTATTTTCCTGCAACCAGGGCTGGAGGCCTTTGAACGAACGCACTGTGCCGCTAGCTAATGCTATGCTGATAACGAGAATGTATGTGACTGCAATGGCGGCGTTGAAGGGCACCTTCACAACCAACAGGAAGGCGATGCTCAACTGTTCGGCGAGAACAAAGCTGGACCACAGCGCCACCAATAAATAGGCGAAAACGGTGCCGTTGGGAAATTTCGGATCCAAAAGCAGGCTGGGAAGCGAAAGGAAATATACAATTTTTTATAATGAATTTTGAATTTTAGGGTACTTACGGATAAATGACACAACTTGCAAACACCGCCGATATCAACGAGAAGGGTATTGCTATGGAGTTGTAGGCGATCAAGAGAGTAGCGCCCGAATACAGACCTTCGGGTGTGTCCTGTGAGAAACGTTTGCGCCAGATTGGAACTGTGAGGAAATGAAATAATAAAATAAATTATTTTAAGTTAAGGAAGGCGATGTCTATATGTACATAGGGATATGGTGGTGAGTGTGCCACAGCCGTAGGCCAAACCAATAATATTGAGTATCATGCCATTTTTGCTGAAGAAACCGTGCGTATCATCCTACGAGCAAATAAATGATAAAATTTTTATTTTCAATAAAGCGTTGTGATAACTTACGCCCACATCGGTGTAAAAGAGCCACATGAGCGCCATCGCTATGGGTAGCAACAGCAAGCGCATGAAGAGCGCCTTCATGCCGGAGAGGCCACAGGAAAAGGTTGAAGCAAGCAGTTTGCTAAAATTTTGCACAAAAACATTTAAATAAATGCTTACTAAGTCGCTAAGCAATACTCACAGATACAACATAATCCAAACTTTCAATTCACCGGGTTTACCATAAGCTAAGGGCACTTTACCGCTACCCATTGTATTGAGTGGCGCATCGGACATGGGAGTTTCACGCGAAAACCGTTCCACCAAAGCTTCGATCTGTTGGCTGGACTCTAAAAAGCGATCGCGGCTTCTACGAAAACCAATATAATATATCAGTTATTTTATTACGAAAAGCTTTCGCCACTAGACTCACCTGCGATCTACAGTGCTCAAGCAGAGATAGTACATCAATGGGTTTTCGAGTTGTGGACAGGGAAATCCAATACTGTGAAAATATTCGAGCATTGCGCGGGTACCGCCCGAGTATACCACACCGCCCAGGCAGAGAAACAATGCGCGATCGAGAAAAGGAAACACGTCGGAGCGTGGTTTTTCCAAAGAGAGTAATATACCGCAACCAGTCTTCTTGGCGCTGTTCGAAAGTATCGATATTAGCAAATAAGCGCTGAGCGGATCTAAGCCCTGTGTGGGTTCGTCGAGCAGGAGCATAACTAAAATCAGAATAAAGTCGTTAGATTTTAAAATTCAACAGACGTTAGGTTAAGATAACTGTTTTCAATACAAATTTCATATTTCTTTGGAAAATATTGGCTAGGAGCAAAATTCTTAATTAATTCTTCAACTCCGACTATTGCCGAGTAATAAGTATCGATGAAAGGTTCATTGCCAATAATGAACGCTTTCTTGACATCCTGGTAATCGGAAAGCATTGTTTCACAGACGATAACGCGAATCTGTTTTTCAAAAAAATTTAGTGATCTTGGATCCAAACATGCTTTCAGTTTTCTTATACCCAAATGACTAGTAGTAAAATTGTCGTATTCAAAATATCATCTGAAGCTAAAACATATTCCCGTCTTTCTGAAACTTTTTGCACCGCATAACAAAAGAACTGCGCTAGCTTGACGGCTAAGAATGAATCAAGCCAATTTTTCTGCACCATTTTGAGAAAGAACAAATTCCAGACAGACGGAGCAAAGACTAACTTTTAAGACGATGCCGCGTTCACTCAGCTAAAGCATGTTTGACATCCACCACAGCATGTGGACTTTTCGCTCGACGAATTTGAATAAAAAAAATATTTTTGTGAATCGTAAATGAAAAAATATACTGAATAAGCAACGATAGGGCCTTAGCCAATCAAATATAGTAAAGTCAGCCGGATGTTCGAAAATTGTGGTATTACTTATGTAGGGGCTAAGAGAATTATTGGCCCGATTTAACTCATTTTCGACATACAGACATATCATTATAAGAGAAGGAAAGAAGCGGACGGATAGACACGCAGTCAAGCGGATTTAAAATTTTATCATCATTCTGATCATTCATATATATGTAACCCAATATGTATCTCAATTAGTTTTAGGTGATACGTCTACGTAGTCGCAACGAAAACAGATTTTAACTTTCGAGCTGACAACATTCCTCCAAATTACTTCAGGAATGTTTTCTTCCTCTATAGGAACAACAACACAATAACTCACACATAAATCAACTAGATAAACTAAAATATTACTTTAGAAAGATTGTGGCTAAGCGTTAAGATATTATCCATATATGAACCGAGTCACACTATGACTTTAAACTAGTGCTTTATCACTGTGATATTAAAGTCGGTTTCTGGCTAATTCTGAGTTGTTAAAACCGAAAATGATAGTAAAAAGTTCTTAATACGTAGAGTTTTGTGTGCTGTTATCAAGGCATGTAATAGTCAAACCATCACCATTTGCTAAAATTACAAAAATCGCTATACGTAATGAAAAATTTTTGAACTTAAGTTCGTAATCAGGACACTTCAAATACCCCATATACCTCTTAGCATATCAGTCGCAAATTTGTTCTTCAGATTTGTTGAGTAGTGTTATTAGAATAAGTTGCATGACATTATAACGTACATATTAAAATTATCAGGTTAGCGTGGAAAATTTTGGTTTCGACCCTGTTGTCTGTATGTCAATAGCATAATTTTGCCCTATTTAAGGTACACACCTGGATCTCTTACTAGCTGTATACCAATAGCTAGACGACGTGCCTCACTCATATTCAAATATTCGACACGTTTGTGAGCCACTTGAGATAACGCCAAGTCGGCCAGGACTTGACGAACTTTTGAGCTCTTCAGGTAGCCGGAGAGCTAAAACGGAAAATAAAATCATTGAAAAAATTAAAAAATGTGCATGTAGTTTTTCACATTTATTTGCTCACTATAGTTGGCGTGTAATGCAAGGTCTGCGCTATCGTTAGTCCCGGTATGAATGTGCATGACTGCGTCACGTAGCCGCAACGTTGCTGGAAAAGTGCTTTCGTTAGTGGCGAACCGTTGAGTAGCACTTGACCACGCGTTGTGCCATCAGCGCGGCGTGCAATCACGTCCAACAATGCACGTTTGCCGCTGCCTGCCAACCACCAAAAATATGATTCAGTTAATACACAAAAGCAATTCTTTACTGTTTTATTACCTTTGGAGCCCAAAATGGCCATCACTTCACCACTGTGCACAGTCAAGTTGACGCCTTTGAGCACCAGCGCTGGGATGCCGCCGCCATTGAAGCAACCACCGCCATCCACCTGTGTAAGACAATGGATAAGTTATCCGAAAACTAAAGACTTAAGCAGCGAACTTGAGAAGAATATATTCTGTAGTATAAATTTTTTTTTTTAACTTAATACTTAGTAATACAACAGTTTTTGTATTTCTTTTATTTAATTTTTTTTTTCAAAATTAGTATAAACAAAATATTTTAGGCATTTATCACGCCGCTACCTCAGTGGTGTGGAAAATGTTGTGCGCCTCCAATACGTAATCGCTGCCGATCATTTTCATGTCATTCATTCAGCCGCTACACTGTACTGCCGCTTGGCTGTGACGTCACACATACACACACTCGCGAACACAAAACGCGCAAATGTGCACTGTTCTCTTCGTTTCTGTTTTGTTTACACTTTTCGTTTGTTTACACACACACATTCACTAAAAGCAACACTGAAATGTTTACTGAGTTCACTGTTACTGAAGCGCTGAGAGACTTTGTAAAAAAACAACAACACTAGTCAGCACTCAACTGAAACCAACTACCACCTCTGCGCGATCCGTCGACACGTCCGTACACAAAAAACGCTCCGCAATAACTGAAGCTGGAATGGCTTTCTGTGGCTTGCCAAGCCACATCCACGCTTTGAGCCGCGTTGTTGGCGAGTTGGCAGCACAATTTTCCAACTGGAATGAAGCGGCTTGAGAATGTGTAGAAATGTACTTGTTTACCATTAATTTAAGAGAGCTGTCTAGCGGCAGGTGAGCAACAACAGTACACTGTATTTATCAGGTGAGAAACATTATTGCAGTTGAAGTGTTACAAATTTTTGATTGTTGTAATTGGCAAAGAAATTCTTGCCTTCATGAATTGTAAGTTATATACAGGTGTTTAAGCAAATGTGGTATGCAATTTTTGGAAAGAGATTTATAGATAATGTATTATTATATACTATATATTCTTAAATAAATAAAATACACATATCTTTTTTTAAGAAACTATCAAAATGTAAAAGTTTCATGAAAGAAAACACCATTTTTAAAAAAATTATTATAATTACTTATTTAATAAAGTACTGTTTATTTTAAATAAAAACATAATTTTTACGAAATTCATGGCAGTTTCAGGAGTTCATGGAAATTTTACGATTTCGAAGATTATGTAAAGAAATATTAATCGAACGGTATCATAGGAAAATAACATATATTTGATAATGCACTAAAATTAAATATTGAGAGTGATCTCTAATCAGGGCCTTAAAAAATAATTTTATCATTGGAACTTATCTCAAATGTTAAAGTTAAGCTTGTTGCAATCCCAAAACTCTTAATATAAAATAATTTTAAAGTTTCTTACCACAAAAACTGCATTGAAAATTAACAATGCATAAGATCATTAAAAAAAATCAAAAACTTTTTGCCTTATTTATACATATTATACTTAATTGTGGGGTTTCAATAAATAAAAAAAATGTAAATAAGGCTGATCCAAGCGTAGGTACTTTTATCAATAGCCTTTTTTGACAGATCACACATGAGTCGTGCCAAACGTTATTTTATTTTTATTCAGTATTTTTCGGCACTATCTGCTAACTATCTGAGACGTAGCCGCGGACAACATTTGAAAGAGATAATCTTCAAAAAATAATTGCCAAAGAATGTTCTATCGAATAATAATAAATATTCACCACTTAATTTGAAGCTTCTGTGTTTTTCTTAAAAAAAAAATACGAAACCTCGAAGTAGATTAACGCTTATTTTCTTTTTATACCTTTGCAATTTATAAAAATATTGTTTTTATTTTCACTCATTCTCATAAATTCAAAATATCAATGGTGAAATTTTTTACTTAAAATGCTAATTTAAAAAAAAAAATCTTTGAATTAACAGATTTTAAATTATTCTAAGTATTCATGAAAGGCTCGATTCATACTATATATACCTGCTTATCTCCTAGTTTCTCATTTCCTACGGTACAAATATATTTTCAGAATAATTTGAAGTGCGATTTGTTCCATTTCGTCATAACTATCTCATACTTAAATATAATTATTTTAATTTAAGCACTTTGTCACTACTTGTCATTCAAACATATTTATTTCTCTCACTGTACAAGTTATTCTAGATTTAGCACTCACCTGTTCTCCGCTGTCGCTGAGCGAACGTACGCTTCGCTCACATTTGATCAGTTGCATGAAACCAGTTAACTGGAAATACCAACAGTTTCCAGTCGAAATTTTCAAGTTGGACTTGGCGACTAAGATGGCGTCAGAGGCCAAGTTCAGTTCAGTTAAACGAGAGAGTTTGCGCACGTCAGTTGGTCGGCGCGCGGCGCGTCGTGAGTTACAAATTAAATAAAAATAAATACATACATACATACATACCACATAAAATATTTACTGAATGAAAAACAAAACGCACAAAAGCTGAGAAGCACGAGTTGTTTCCAAAAAAAATCGTATCTAATACAAATCGCGAAAAATAAAAAGTGCAAGAATTGTTGAAAATAAATAATTTGAGTAATTATAAATAATAGTTCTAACTAGTAGAGTGTTTGCAGTAAAATAAGAAAATAATTACACACACATGCACATGTATGTGGCCAACTAGAAGAGAGCGCATGCCAACCGGGCCCCAATCCGTACAAACAGAATTGTGAAAAGTGCTTAACGGCGAGAATACGCAGCGAACGGAGTGCAAAGCGAAATTTTCGTCTAGCTGTGCAGATTTTCAAAAAGATAGATACACAAGTGGAGTCGCGAACACGTATGCAGGCGCACAGCACTGTTCTATAGAGAAAAGCACACGCACACACTCACACGTATCTATGCAGTTGTTGGTGTGCGCGTAGTTTGGTGCGCGTGTGTGTGTTGTGGTTTAACGGCTGCCCGCTGAAATAAATACCCCAACTAGTCGTGGTATGCACTATTGGAATATTTGTTGTTGTTTTCGTATATTATATTTTGGCTTCGGTTCTTAATTCGCGCAAAATCAACAACCCACAAAGGAAGCAAACAACAAACGACTCTCTTCGTGGAATTGTGGCAATAGAATCAACAAAGGTGCATAAAAAGAAAATAAAACAAAATTCGGTGAGTGAAACAGCTTTGTAAATACAGATAAGAAACAGAGCTAAAACACATAAATTATAACAAATGCAAATATTTTTTTGAAATGACTAGTTAGAGGGTGGAGTTTTGGTGCGATTAAAGGAATTTGTATGCGATGCGTTTTCTTGTTTTATTCTTTAACAGTTTACTTATCTTTTTTATATGTTTGGTTTTTGAATGATGTGTGAGTTTATGAAGAATTACAGGTGAAAGAAATGTGTAAAATAATTACAAATGTATATGTGAATGTTCTTACATTTTTAGTTTCGTAATATGGTTTAATGACTTTTTGTTTGTGATCTGTTGAACCATTGTAATAGCTAAACCGGGTTAAAATACTATCAAGGTGAATACAAAAAATTATTTTGGTGAACAGGAATTTATTTTTTATCCGAATTTTTTTGTAATGTTGCCAATATTGCTTGAAGAAAACTATTATTTTAACAAAAAAAAAATTATTATTATTAAAAAAAAAATTACCAAGAGAGAAATATGCAAGGCTTTGATTAATTACCTTTAAAGTCAGGCTAGTGTTTTTGAAATTAAACATTCTTATGTTTTTTAAACCATTTTGACCTCTTATAGTATTTGTGACACATTGTGACTTATGTAGTGATTTATGTAGCTATTCATCAATATTTTTATTCTGTCCCCACCAGATGTAATACATTTATTATAAAGAGTTTTTCAGTCCTCGAAACACTGTTCATTAGCCTTCAGCTCTTTCAGCGAATTTAGTTATATCTTCTCGATCGACTGAAAACGGGCTCCAGGCAGCAGCAATTTCAGCTTGGGGAACAAGGAAAAATAACACGGAGCCAAGTATAGAGAATACGGTGGTTGATCGATGATATTCATTGCGTTTTTGGCCTTAAATACTATATTTAATAGCATTATCAACGTGCAAAATCCATGAATTGTTCTTTCACAACGGACGCTATCACGCAAACGCCTCACATGCCTCGCACGTTCAAGCGTGTCCAAAGATATCTGTTTACGGTACTCTTTTTGAAAAAATACAGCTTTATCCGAACGAGTCGAGCAAGAACGCGTGTTCACCCAAAATATCCACCAAACGCATTCGAACAGACTCGCGAGAGATGTCGAGCTCTTTTGCCATCTCTCTAACACTTGCTTGAAGATTTTCAAGCAATGGATCCTTCACTTTTTTAATATTTTCATAAGTTAAAGAGGTCGTTCAGAGACATACCTACGATATCCCTTGCAAAAGTTTAATGCCATTTCAAAAAAGTTTTGGATATCAAAAGCTCTTTAGGATCCGGAAACAAAAGGATTTGGCAATTCATAAAAATTAATGTTTTAATTTCACAGCCGAATTGTTGTCCCAAAACGTTTTACTTGCTATTTTTTTATTGGTATACCCTGCCTTATGCCTTAAAATATCATTTTAACTGCTATAACTATGAAAATAAGCATTTTTATTCCCCTTAGTGATTTTAAAAATTAAATGAAACATTTTAATGAATATAATGAGAACTGTGAAAAGGCAACTGGAGGAAATAAAGTGTTTACAAAGTTTCCAAAAACACATTTAGAAACATAGAATTTTATAAAATGATAATAAAATAAAGAAATAAAAAAAAGTTTTTTTAAAAAAGTTTTGATTTAAAACTTGTTTCAAACAAAATTGTTTGCTTTCAAATTTTTTTGGGTTTATTTTTTATTTTTTTTTTTTTAAATTTTTTTTTTATAATTTGTTACTCACATATTATTTATTTAGTTTGGCGCAATTTTTTAAGATGTGAACAATTTCTGGTAAACTCCGAAAATTTTTCCGATTTTTTTTACATATTTTCCGAAAGAAAAGAAATTTTCAGCAATCTTAATATTATTTTATTGATTAAATGGATTATTCAGGAAATGTTCGTAAATTTCGATCGAATGCGAAAAGCTATTAACGATAATGATAATTTCATTAAGAAATTCTAAGCATATATTATTTTGAAATCTCCTTGGAAAACCCAAAATGTTCTTTTAAACATTTAGTAATTAACACCTTTGTGTACAAATATATCACCATCAGATAAATGTACATATGTATATAAAAAGTTACCCAATATTACAGTAAATGCTTCTAAATCTCGTTTTGCTTATATGCACACATAAGAATATGTTATATAGTTATTTTGCTTATGTACATACTGAGGCATGCTCACTCGCATTACGTCTTTATTACACTTGTCAGCGGTAAATATATATAAAAGCAATTCTATATTAGAAGCGCTTAATAACGACAACCCTACAACAACAACATACCGCCTGCGAGCCATTCCGCTGGGCAGCGTTAATTTCTTATTTCCTCGCTTTAATTCCTGCCCATGCGTTTATTATGCACGTAACGCGCCCTAACAGTTAATTTCGTTACGCATTAGGTGCTCACCGGCACAAGTTCCTACACACTACACACCTATACATACACAGTGCACAACCTACAACCTACACTCATTTGGATTCAAGAACAAATGCAACAACACAAACAACTCGCCATTGCACAAGCACACAAATGCTATACGATCGCGAAGGGAGAACGAGCAGTTTCAAACGGGAAAAGTACGAGTAAAACGAGTCAAGTAATAAGAAAATCAAAGAAGTCTGTTTGCTTTTCTGTAACTTCAGTCCAACACATACACACATACATATATATTGTGGCGGTTTAGTTGGGCAGAACCATAGCCCCTACCTTAGGCGGCAGCGTTGTAACAGGTCAAAGATCTTGAAAAGCATTTAGCAAACAACTGAAACAACAACAATAATATCAAGCAAATAACACACACACACACACAAACAAAAGAAGGGCTAGAATGAATTTCTTATACTTTGGAAATTTAGTATATTTCTAGATGGGAAAATATTGCTTACTTTTTGTTAAGCAATTGGTTCGGAAGTAACTACATTATGACTAGTTTAAATATCATGTATTCAAACAAACTTATTTCTTTGTGTCTATTTTTTACTCTGTAGGTTTCTGGGTCTCCAAAAGTGGTAACTGAAAAATAAAGGGTTATCCATTTCGAGGTTGTCTACATTTTTAAAGAAAAAACATAGAAACTTCACATTTAATTCGAAAGAGCATTCTTTGGCATCTTTTTAAAGATTATTTTTTCAAATATTGGCGGCATTTACGTCTCAGATGGTCCATCCATTGAGTCCAATTTTCGATGACTCGTTCGTATTTCGACTGGTAACTGGAAAATGACCAGGCATCATTTTTGAAGAAATATGGACCGATGTTTCCATCGGCCCACTAACCACACCAAATTTTCACTTTTTCTGGATAAAATGACACCTCTTGAATCTCTTCAGGTTGCTCTTAGACCCAAATGCGGCAATTTTGCCTGTTTTCATACCAATTTAGCCAGAAATGCTCCTCATCGCTGAACAAAATTTGGCTGGAGAACTTCAGATCTCGATCGTCGATCGGCTTCAGTTCTTGCTCAAGCTGTACTTTGTATGCTTTCAACTTAAGATCTCGGCTACTCCTCTAACTATATATTAATGTATTCTTGGCACATCAAAGGCATCTCCGACAACTGACAAGAACCGTACAAGTAAAAATAACTAGTTGTGATTTCAAAATCACCACAAATAGTTCCAGTTCCAAATCAACAATTTCTCCACAAACCTTTTCTCAAACTTCTATTTCTTCAACATTCAAACAACCAAATTTACCCTCACTTATAGTACGTAGCACGTCTAAGAAGTCAAAGCAGCACCAATATGTGCTATGTATGATCGTTTGCTTATCGTTTTCTTTCCTGCTCTCTAGACCGCGCATGCGCGCCGCTTATTTCTCTACTACAAAACTTTGCAAACTAGTTGCTTAGCCTGTTGTTGCGTTTGTTTATGCTTGTGTTGTAGAATGCTGTTGAGTCGTGCTTTTTGCTATTTATGCTACTGCTTTTGTTGTATCTTTTCGTCGCCTATCATCTCCTCCACCAGGTATGATTGTTCTTTCCGTTTTCCGCTTGGCATTAAGAATCCAGTTTTTGCTATTATTTTTAGGTTTTCTTCTCCAGCTTTTCTCTATATCGTTGCTTATTGATTTTGCGCTGAAACCAATATATACTTATACTTTTATATAGTATAATGTACAAAGCATATCTGCAAGTATGTGCGTGAGTTAGTGCAAGTGTGAGTTTGGTTGGTTGATTTCTAGGTGCTTCTAGCATAAAGGCATCAATTAACATTTTTGTGGTCGGTTTGAGGTAAATATTCTTTTACATATTGATATTTATGCAATAGAATTGCAATGAGCTTCAAGTAAATAGTGTATAGATCTATAGAATACAGTACAGTAACATTATTGTATAGATTTTTAATAAATAAAATACTTATAAAAACGATTATCTGGGCCCATACTCAAATATCTGAACGATTTGGACTCTTACCTGGATAAAAACAGTCAGCTCACCATGCGGTTTAAAAGTTTATGTAGATTAGACTAAAAAGACTGGCTAAATTTCCATTTACTTAAACTTCTTTTACCTTTAATGAAATGAGATAACAGAAAAATCCATGAAAGAATTATGGAAGAACATTTGGGTACAACTAAAAGGGAAGATATTGGATACTCTATCGATATGGATTGAATCATTTTATTTGCTCCTAAAAATCAAAAGCTGATTAATATTTGAAATTAATTTTATTAAAAAATATTTATGCACAGGCTCATGTTTCAAAGTGGCTTAGCTTCCTTGTTGGCAAATGTGATTGTTTACTTTTATAAACAAAACTACATAATTTGTAAATGTTGAATGAAATAACATACTTGTGCATACGTATGCGAAATACAAGCAGAATATTCATGACAAAAAGATAAAGTTTTTGAGTATAAGAAAATACATTGCGCCCAAAAAGTACTCAGAAACTGTAAACAAAAATCTTTATAAATTTCTCTTTGTCGTCTTCCAAGATGTAAAACACTTATGCCAACGATTTTTTCAGTCCGCGAAACACTTTTC